CAAAAACCCACTATAACCTAGGGTTTTCAGTTCAACCAAATCCCACCAGAAAACATAGAATTTGAAGAGTACAGGGAAAGTAGTTACGTAAAAACCATAATAAAACCATAATAAAAAACCATGATAAAAACTCTGTAATTAACAATGTAATACTTCAGCTTTCACAGAAACAGGTAACTAAAGTGGACAAACCATGAACTTAAAGGGACAAGACAAAAAAGGCCCTGCAGTGCCCCTAGCAAACACTGCAACATTCTTCCCACTAACATGGCTTCCTTGTTATTGCAACCTGGCGCAAGCTATTTTGAAGCCACAACCCAGACAATTCTTATTCCTAATCACCAATGAAACAATTTGCCAAACTATTGAAAAATATGCTGATATCCATTTACTATTAGGCAAGCAACCCAGAACAATATTCTTTGATTGCGATCTGTAACCATACACTCATTGGGCTGACTTCTTTCCTACTTCATCTTCTTTCCTTTTTAAAACATTGCGCTAAGCCTGTGATCTTGAACCTAAAGCACACTAAAAGTAAAAAACAAAGCTGCTAAGATTTCAAAGCTGTTTTTCTCTCTTCTGGAAATTCACACGTGTTAATTTAGCTTATCATTCAATCCTCCTAAGCCGACTTTTTATATAGGACTAGCTTAATTTTACACTCTATTTCTCTTATACCTTTTAATTAAATGGCCTCTACCTGGTTCCTAGTTCCTGTTCCAGTGTTTTATGGAATGGATCTGTTCACATTTTCCTTCTGATTAAGAATAAGATGTGGCTACAGGGAATGAAGCGGAAATACGTGAAAAATCACAAGGCACAGCAATTTCATTTTTCAACCTGGATGGGTCCTGGGCTTTTCATTCAGGTCAGCTGAACTTCTAAATACTGTGAGTGATTAATAATCCCATTTGGTTTTCCCAGTGATGCTAAAGATGATGAAGGAGGGAGAAATTTGGGGGGTAATTAAAAGATGGATAGAAACATAAAACAATAATGTTCTATTTCAAGAAAGTCAACAGAAATGTTAAAAAATACCTAATTCTTATGGGTGTCATGGAAAATTGTAGAGTTGAAATAACAGGTAGATGACATTTGATTAAATATTTAATTAAGCTAAATACACACAAGCCTCTTAATTCTGAATGTGTTCTGTGCGATGGTATTCCACCAAAGTGAAGTAGGGAAACATTTTTAAACAATTCTTTCTTCTGATTACGTATAACTCTTGACTTGATCAAGTCAAACATGTCATCCCACATTACTCTCAAACCAAGTCATATTTCATAGTGTCATTCCACCTATTAGACCCAGCTGTACCAATGGGATGATGCTAAGGAATCAAATTTCCCCTGCTTATTTACAGTACTGACATTAACTTTTTGCCTTCTCAATTAAGTTAAATGACTGTCGAAAGGTTTACGTTTTGACACTCAGGGATCAATGTAATCACATGATAGGCAACTCTTACCACTGCTGATGTTCAACAAGAAAACAAAAAAATTATGATGATTATCTGGATAATGCTGAACAGGTGATCAGTAAGAACCAGGGAAGTATCCTGGATTAGATCCTGAAAATCAGTGCTTTTTGGTTAAAGGAAGCTCCTAAGTGGAGATCTAGCATCTGGTCCCATCAAATTCTACTCCAGAAAATATATTTACACAAATGAATTGATATTCTCATTTCCCTCTCCCATTCCCATTCCATATGAGATAAAATAAAAATTCAAAATCACTAGAAAATAGTGAAAATAGATGCATGAGTACGAGGCATTTTTAAATGTTTCNGGAAGGCTTTCTTATTTCTCCTTAGTACTCTGGAACTCTGCATTCAAATGGGTTTATCTTCTCTTTTCTCCTTTGCCTTTTGCTTCTCTTCTTTTCTCAGCTATTTGTAAGGCCTCCTCAGACAGCCATTTTGCTTTTTTGCATTTCTTTTTCTTGGGATGGTCTTGATCACTGCCTCTTGTACAATGTCACGAACCTCCATCCATAGTTCTTCAGGCACTGTCTATCAGATCTAATCCCTTGAATCTATTTGTCACTTCTACTGTATAATCGTAAGGGATTTGAATTAGGTCATACCTGAATGGTCTAGTGATTTTCCCTACTTTCTTCAATTTAAGTCTGCTTTTGGCAATAAAGAGTTCATGATCTGAACCACAGTCAGCTCCCGATCTTGTTTTTGCTGACTGTATAGAGCTTCTCCATTTTGGCTGCAAAAAATATAATCAAAATAATTTCAATATTAACCATCTGGTGATGTTCTTGTGTAGAGTCATCTCCTGTGTTGCTAGAAGAGGTGTTTGCTATGACCAGGGCTTTCTCTTTGCAAAACTCTGTTAGCCTTTGACTGCTTCATTTTGTACTCCAAGGCCAAATTTGTCTGTTACTCCAGGTAGGTCTTGACTTCCTACTTCTGCATTCCAGTCCCCTATAATGAAGAGGACATATTATTTGGGTGTTAGTTCTAGAAGGTCTTGTAGGTCTTCATAGAACTGTTCAACTTTAGCTTCTTCAGCATTACTAGTTGAGGCATAGTCTTGGATTACTATGATACTGAATGGTTTGCCTTGGAAACGAACAGAGATCATTCTGTTGTTTTTGAGATTGCATCCAAGTGCTGCATTCTGAACTCTTTTGTTGACCATGATGGCTCCTCCATTTCTTCCAAGGGATTCTTGTCCACAGTAGTAGATATAATGGTCATCTGAGCTAAATTCACCCATTCCAGTCCATTTTACTTTGTTGATTCCTAAAAGACCGATGTTCACTCTTGCCATCTCCTGTTTTAGCACCTCCAATTTGCCTTGATTCATGGACCTAATATTCCAGGTTCCTATGCAATATTGCTCTTTACAGCATTGGACTTTACTTCCATCACCTGTCACATTCACAACTGGGTGTTTTATTTTTTTTTGCTTTGGCTCCATCTGTTCATTCTCTCTTCATTCTTTCTGGAGTTAATTCTCCACTGAACTCCAGTATCATATGGGCACCTACCGACCTGGGGACTTCATCTTTCAGTGTCCTATCTTCTTGCCTTTTCATACTGTTCATGGGGTTCTTAAGGCAAAAATACTGAAGTGACTTACTATTCCCTTCTCCAGTGGACCACAAATTGTCAAAACTCTCCTCCATGACCTGTCTGTCTTGGGTGGCCCTATATGGCATGGCTCATAGTTTTCATAGAGCTAGACAAGGCTGTGGTCCATGTGATCAGTTTGGTTAGTTTTCTGTGATTGTGATTTTCATTTTGTTGGCCCTATGATGGACAGTGATAAGAGGCTTATGGAAGAGACTGAGGGTGAAACAAGGTCTTGTTCTGATGGGTGTTCCATGTTCAGTAAATCTTTAATTCAATTTTCTATTGATAGGCAGGGCTGTGTTCCCTCCCTGTTGCTTGACCTGGGGCCTAACTCTCCTGGAGGTAATGAAGATAATGATAGCCTAGTCTAAGCAGAAGACCGGTCAAAAGGTCCCATGCGTACACTGCTGGATTCAGTGCCTCCAACCCTGAAGCAGGCCACCGCCAACCCCCACCTCTGCCAGAGACTCCTGGACATCATGGGCATGTCTACCCCTGTGAGAGTCATAGTGTTTTCTTTTCCATATCAGTCATGACTAATGCTTTAACCATTCATATGTTTATTCATACTAGACCATGAGTCCTTCAGGACAGGATCTGAGTTGCAGTCAAACTGTATGGCAAGTTGTGCACATTGCACAATGTAATTGGTACCTGGCTATTGATTGAATTAGATTAAACTGAGTTAAGTTAATACTGGTAAATGTCACAGCCAGGAGATCCAACCAGTCCATCCTAAAGGAAGTCAGTCCTGAATATTCACTGGAAGGACTGATGCTGAAGCTGAAACTCCAATACTTTGACCACCTGATGGAAAAAATGACTCATTTGAAAAGTCCCTGATGCTGGGAAAGACTGAAGGTGGGAGGAGAAGGGGATGACAGAGGATGAGATGGTTGGAGGGCATCACTGACTTGATGGACTTGAGTTTGAGTAAACTCTGGGAAATGGTGATGGACAGACAGGGAGACCTGGCGTGCTGCAGTCCATGGGGTCACAAAGAGTCAGACACGAGTGACTGAACTGAAATGAACCAGTCAGTAAGGACTGGAGGCTTGTATAAGGCAAAAACATACTGGCTAGTCCTATGATTAGATATTCTTTTTAAAAAAAAAAAAAAAGGAGGAGGAGGAGGTGGGTTATGTAGTTTTTATTAAAAACTGATACTTGATTTTTCTAAGCATTTTAATGAACAGTTAATTAATTCCACAATTCTCTTCAACTTCAAAGGGAACTGGGTATCTATCATGCCCAGTCATCTTCAACATTCTAGTACTCTTTCCTACAGCATAAAATATGCTAGCCCTACAGAGACCATTTATGAATGTACTTTGTGGAAAAAGCACATCTATCTTGCAAATCAATGTTACAGGTGCTGCAGTTACAGAGTCATTGACCTCCAAGCATCCCCAGAGTGCTGGACACTCAGCAACTCTTTTCTTAGTGCCACAGCCTGTGGTGCACTAAAAGAAAAAAAAATCATAATTGCAAGGCTAAGGCACAATCAGACAAACAAGAAAACTTTGCTAACAATCAGCATAACTAAATAAAGACTCTTAACAGAAGAATTAAGAAGAAATCTAGTGAGACACATGAAGTGGTCTGTGTCATGATTAAGAGGTGTTCAAAGCTGGATCCCTGTATCAAGAAAGAGGGTTTAAATTAGGCTCTTTGTGGACTGATGCTGGGGGCCTCGCCCCTGTGGTTGGTGCTCTGAGCAGTGTGCTAGACACGGTCTGGAGGGACCTGAGTATACCAGGTGCAACGTAGGTGAGAACAAAGATAAAGAAACTGGAAATGATGCAGAAATGCTGTCAATGTAATGGGTAACACCTCACAAGACAGGAGCCACCATACCTATCTAAAGATACAAAGCATGCATTGTATGCATGCATTGCCCCAAAGTAAATAATGTTATGGAGTAGGACACAATTCATCCATAAGCCCTAGGGATCAAAAGCATCAATATACTAATCCTTGGGTCATATGAAAGTTATGTGATCCTTGTCACTCTATCTGCTCTTCCTTATTCCTCCAACACACACACACACACACACACACACACACACACACACACACACAGTTTGTCTCAGCGTTAGTTTCATGTTACAAGCTAAGATACATCAACATTTGAATTGTAATCCCCTTGGTTAAGATTATTCACTGATTCAACTAATATCTATAGCAAATTCTTAAAAATCTGAACAATATACTATCCACTGGGTAGATGTCATACATTCAGATCTTGTAAATTCTTTACCCAATTCCTTAGCATAGAACAAAGTTCTTGCTTTTGTAAAAATGTCATTTACAAGGAATAAAGGTATGACTCAGGATCATTTTCTTAAGCACATATAGCGCAGTTTGTCTCAAAATCATGGGTAGTATTGACAGCATCAAATGATCTACATTTCTATTAGTAAATGAAAACATTATACCTGGGAGTGGCTATGTTTCTTTTTAAAATCATTTTAAAATTTTTAGATTCCAATAATGAATGCACATAATTTTAAATCACCTATTTCCTAAAAGTTCATTACACATATAGTTGCCCCCTTCACTTTTTCTATACTCAACTTCTTCCCAAAAGGTTTAAATTCTTTGGGCCTGTTTATTACATTTATCACAACATTACAAAATAACTGATTGGCATTAGTACATTTTTGGTTATCAATTTCAGATGTCATCAGTTTATTTTTGTTACAGGAGTTAAGCTCACCCTGTCCCCAGTCAAATATACATATTAACATGTAGATACACAGACAGACATAGACACACACACACCCTCTCAGTCTCCCAATGTTATTTAATATTTTTCATGGAAAATCAGGGTTGCATTATTTAATATGCCTTTGTAGTATATATCATGATTGAATTTTTTTCTCCTACATTTTGCCATGGAGTTAATAATTGCCTCTTTCTTCCTATTTTCTCAGCTTCATTTGGAGTCATTATTACATTTTGCAAATATTTCAACTGACCTTGCAAATGCCTATGGGTAAGTTTTAACTAAACCAGACTCTTCTTTTCAGTTGAGCATGATTGTTGTTTTGGAAGGCCTTGGCTCTGCAGCGACCCAGCGCACTGCTCCAGTCCGAACCAGCTGCTGACGGCCGCTCCTGTTGAGCGCTCAGAGTGAAACTCCGTAGCACTATTGCTATGGATTCACCCTCTGCCAGATTTCAAGTCCTGCCTATATTTTGTTTACTTCCTTGATTTGCAGAAACATATCCTATAGTAGCTTCCTAGGAGGAGAATCAAGAATGATTAATTTTAAGAACCTGTATACTTTAACAAGAATTTATTTTTCACTTCACATTCTATGGATAGTTTGCCTGAGTATGAATCCTGGATTGAAAATACTCTCCCTCAGAATTTCAAGACATCATTTCTTTATAACAGCCAACATTTCCATTAAGAAATCCAGAGCTGCTGAATTCTATTTTATTCTATTTGATTATTTTTTGATAATGATTGTTTCCTCCCATCAGAAGCTTCTAGTACTTTCCCATTTTTTTTTTCTGTCCTTAGCTTTTCTGATAGACCTAAGTATTTTTCAAAACCTGATGCATTTGTCTGGCAAATGTATTTCTAACATAAGCTTTTCCAATATGAAGATGTATGCTCTTAAGCTCTGGAAATACTGTTTCTTTGATAAATTTTTTCCCTCTTGTATTTTCTGTAGACCTTTTTCTATCTCCTTGTGGTATAACTCATAGAATAATCTTTTATTTTCTCATGTATATTATTCTTTTTATCTTGTTATTCAATTTTCAAGGTTTTTACGCTTTATCTTTTAATCCTTCTATTGAAAATTTTACTTATCATATTTTAAAAATTCCCCAATCTCTTCCTGTTTTCTGAATGTTCTTCTTTCATTGTAGTTTGGTCTTGTATTATAGATGTAACTTGTCTCATGTTTTGGAAGAAATTAAATATACATGTTTTAGAAATTTAGTTCTATTGCCTGCATTGTATCTGCTTATCACAGGTTTTAAAAATTCAGTTTGTTTCTTTTCTCCTTGATATTGCTTTTCCTCTTAGAGGACGTGCATCACAGATCTCTCTTAGACATAAATTGAGTACTTTTCTCACCTTCATGTTTGAATGATATAAATGTCTTAGCTGATGGAAGGAAGAAAAAAATACAAAGCATTAGGAAGGAGCAGTTTAGAGAAAAGTTTGTGTTGTAGACATGTGTTTGCAGGAGTGTTTAAACTTTCCTGTTTTATTTAGCTATTATTTCTTCACATTCATAAACATGAAATTCACTTCTGGTTTAAAAGTCAAATATATATTGTTATCGAATTCAGTTGAAATGAGAAAAAATTTAAATATCCAGCTCTAAAACTAATTCTAAGACTAACCAATGCTAAAACAAATCAAAACAAAAAGAAATTCACAATGGCTGGTGATCTTCCACTTTCTTTGGGGGGATTTTAATTTAAAACATTTTATACCCCTTGCCATTTTAGTTCAATTCCAAGTCAACATATTTTTCAGTCAACACACATAATTAGAATGGGAATGAGAAGATATAACAAAGGAACATCATCAAACTTAAAATGAGAATTGAATTGAGTGTGGTAGTATCTTTCCAGATGTGTTGGTCTCAAGGTTAATAGGAAAAAGGTTGCCCAGCCTGTTAGCTCCACCTCATATTTGAGAAGCCACCTAGCAATAAATGTGAGGATTCCATCGTACCACAATTTTATTTGCTTCAAACTTAGACCCTTGCAGCAAATTCTGTTTTCAGAAGTGAAGCTGCCATGACACCAGGCAGTACAGAGCTAAGAACTCTGCCGTCTCTGACAGTCTGCCACAGTGATCCTACTCAGAGCGGGGCCTCAGCAACGCTCCTGGAAAAGAGCAGTTAAAGAATTGTGCTCAGTAATTACTTTTCAAAACACAGAGATAGCAATTTAAACTGAAGTGCATAACCACACTGAAATTAAGTGAGGACAGAAAAAAAGCCCATTCCTCTAGTAATTCCCCTGCCTCTCATTTTTATGTGTACTCAATCTGTTTCTTCTCTCCTTCTATTATTTTATACCTCCAACTCTTCTTCCTCTTTTTTCTGCCTTTTTGTTAAGTGTTTTTTCTTATTTTTTCTGTTTATATATATCCTATCATCTTTTTCCCTTTTATCTTAATTGATCTCCCTTTCACTTTCACTCTGTAACTGTCATAACATTAGTACATTGAGTAAAAAATATATTTATGGGTTGCATTTTTGGGAGCATTATACTCATTGAATACAGGCTAACACTTCACTAAAAAGTTTGTAATTTAAACTTCTTCCCTCATCTCTTTAAAAGAAAGTCTTAAATCAATTAATTATTGATACTTTAAAACATCCACATGAAACTTAATTGATTTGCTTAATAATTAGCAGTTAAACAGAATAGCTACTTTTCACTTCTGATTTAGAGTAATAAAGAGTGTTAAGAAATAGAGAGTTCCCAAGATGGCAGAGTAGGAAGACTTCTGAGCTCACCTCCTCTTACGGGCATGCCAAAATTAAAACTATTTACAGAAAATTATTTATGAAAAAGACCAGGATCTACCAGAAAAGATCTTTGCAACTAAAAGTATAAAGAAGGAGCCACAATGAGGCAGGCAGGAAGAGAGGAGTCGTGGTACAGTCAAGACCCAAACCCCAGGTGGGCGACCCATGAACAGCCTACAACGGCAGAGCTCCTCCCCACAAGGAGTGGGCTGTCTCAAGGCCCTCGTGCTGAGCAGAGTCTCAGAAACGCACCTTTCCCCAGGTCTGAGTCAGAAAGAAACACAGAATATGAACAGGCCAACTGCCAGTAATGAAACTGAACAGATAATTTAAAAACTGCCCCCAAAACAAAATGACAGGACTAGATAGCTTTTACAGGTGAATTCTACCAGAGAAAAGTGGCCATCTATACTTTTCAGGTAGACTCAAATACTGTTAGCCCACAGGCCATACTTTGAGCAACAAGTGTGTAACAACTATAGCGATAGGTATGTATAAGCCAGTGTCAGTTTCCAAGGAATTTAAATAGCAGTCAGCAGGAAATGATTGAGCAGGTCTGCAAATCATTTTCAATTTTTCCTACAGAGGTCTTAGTCTTCATCTGGAAAATGTAGATACCCAGAGTCTCTGTCCTGGTTTAAGTAAGATGGACCAGAGAAAACAGGCTCTAAGGAGTGTATGCTCAACCACCATAAATGTTGTTGATAAGGTCAGCAAGAGTCAGAATTTTTTTGTTTGTTTTCTTTTTATTCATCTATATACGCACAGTCTCTGAAACAGAACCTTCCTTTAATAAGAGTTCAATAAGTGTTTGTTGAATTAGATTGAAAGTAAATGAAATCTTTCTGGTCTTATTTTCTAGTTCACCTTAAATTATTAAGAATTCTAGTGACATATGGGCTGATTCTCAAAGAGTGTATTTGCTGGAATCATGCTTTCAGATTCTTGCTGTTCATACAGATAAGAAATGTCTCAATATCTTTACTAACTTGAATTCAGCAGCTTACTTACTCTTACTGGTTTTCTGACATCAGAAATACCTAACTTCACTACTTTTCAAAATCATAACATGGATAAATCTAAAGAGCTTTTCTATTTAGTATCTCATGATCATAAAATTCTTGTTGGAAAGATTATTTATTAACAATCCAGCAGCACTCGGTAACCACATTAAAACTTCTTAATAAAAGGTATAATTAAATAAGATTATAATGATGCTAGTATCTCCTTAGAATTTTTAATGTGATAGAAAACTCAGTGCCCTGAGTTTATCATGGAAGCCTAGATTAAAAGCCTAGCTGTCTCATTCTTCAGCAGTGTAGACCCTCTGTAAAATAAGAAACAAATATTATATATATGTATATATATGGGTCAGGCCCCCAGTGCCTGACACAGAACTCTTGAACTTGTAGATAGAGATACTATCATTACTCTTTGACCCAAGTTCCTGACACAAAGCTCTTGAGACTTTTGCTAATTTACTGAGTGATGGGACCATCTGACACAGAGCTCCTAAGTCCTTTGTGATTTCCTAGGTAATAGGAATATCTTTCTGTTCTCTTGGATGGAGAATGGTCACCAGAAAGAGCAAGCTGTGAGCAGAAGTTTGGGACTTTTGGTCCCATCTCCTATTCTCCAGGAGGGGGAGAAGGTTGGAAGTGCAGTTTGTGATCATGCTAACATTATGAAGCCTCCATAGAAACACTAAAAGTACTGGGTTCAGAGTATTTCCCCATTAGTGAACACATCTACGTGCCTGGAGGACAGCGCATTTCAATTATAAAAGGTAGACTCTTGCACTCAAAACCTTTCCAGACCTCATCCTATGTATCTCAGACCTCATCCTATGTATCTCTTCATCCAGCTTTTCATTTGTAACCTTTATAAAATATAAAATCAGTGAACTGTTTTCCTGAGCTCTAATGAGCTGCTCTATCAAATTACTGAAACCAGGGAGGGTACTGTGGGAACCTCCAATTTGCAGCCAAGTTGGTCAGAAATTTTAGGTAACCTGAGGACCTACTACTAGTGATTAGTATCTGAAGTTAGGGGTTGGGGAGGGGCATCTCACAACCCTTAACCAGCAGGCTCTACACTACCGCTGGTTAGTGTCAGAATTGAATAAAGGCTTCCAAGCTGGTGTTGGAGGTTCAGCGTGGGAAAAATCCCAGACATCTGGTGTCAGAAATGTTATGAACAAGGCGGCCTCAGCTGCTGTTGTTGCTATTTAGTCGCTAAGTCATGCTGAACTGTTCAGTGACCCCACCAGGTTCCTCTGTCCATGGGATTTTTCAGGCAGGAGTACTGGATTCGGATGTCATTTCCTTCTCCAGGAGATCTTCCCGACCCAGGGATTGAACCTTCAGCTCCTGCCGTGTCTCCTGCATTATCAGTGGGTTCTTCACTGCTGGGACACCAAAGAAGCACTCAACACCCACATATCAAGTGGAAATCACAGCTCACTTGAGACTCTCATGTCAAGCAAAAATAATCACAACAGTCATTCTAAAAGTCAACAGGTTCATAAATGTAGAAAGTAAACCAAACTCAGGGGCTGGCACAGGAGTCAAAGCTTTTTTTTTTTTTAGCTTGCAAATGCAAAGCACTTTAACATTCGTTATCCTGTTTGAACTACCCTAAGAGCATTTTCTAGTGGCAGTGTAAGGGAAGGAACAATATGAACAACCCTCTTTATTTGTGAATATACACATACAAGCATACCTCATTTGACTGTGCTTAGTTTATCAAGCTTCACATACACTGTGGTTTTCACATACTGAAGGTTTGTGGCAAGACTGCGTTGTCAAATGATGGTTAGCATTTTTTAGCAATAAAGTATTTTCAATTGAGGTATGTACTTTTTTAGACATAATACTATTGCACACTAGACTACAGTATAGTGTAAGCATAACTTTTTTGTGCACTCCAGAGACCAAAAAAATTCATGTGACTCACTTTATCATATTTGCTTTACTGCAGTGGTCTGGAACTGAACCTACAGAATCTCTGAGGTATGCCTACATATAAATAAACTGAAGCCCTAAAATCCTAAGTCTAAGGGCAGAGGACTTCTCTTTGAGAATTATATCATTTTGGTGTTTTGAAACAAGTGAGCAATGCCTTGTAATTAATTTTCCCACCATCATTATTTTATGTTTAAAAGCTTTAATGTGTGCCCAGATTTCTAAGGTCAATAAACAAACAATATATTCTAAAAAGAAATGGCCCTGAGACAAAAATTGCTGGCCAGTTTGTTTTCTATCATTGATATCTATTGACAAATATGCCAATGGTTGTGCTAATCAATGTCATTTCAAATTTGTATCCTTACATTCTCAAACACAGACATGAGTAGACGTTTTATTCATATAAATGGAATCTTTTTAAGTACTTTTAAACTTGAAATCATAGTACTTATAATAGTCAGAAATCTACAGTTTAATTAATTACAGCATAATTCATTTAAAACTTTTTTTGAGAAACTCAATTTTTGAAATGTTAGTGTGAGAATCATACAAATCAAGCTCCCCTTTCCTGCAGAATTTTGGCCTGGAGTTTTTAATAATTATTTCAGGAAATATGATAAGGGAGAGATAGTATAAACACATTTCACAGAACTTCTTATATATATGGCATTATAGTATATTAAACTAAGAAAACGATTCTGCAACAATAAGCAATAGTCTTATGACTTGAGATATGCTTACTGATCATTTCTGATCAAGTATGTAATATTTAGTATTTTGATAACAAGAATGGTATAAGACCATCTCTGTTCCTCTCTTAAAACGGAAAATAAAATAAATTATTATACATGTCTCCTTCTTATTTCTGTATAATGCTTCCCCCGCATGCATTGTGGAGCCAAAACCTGACATGAAAGTTTATGACAGAGTGAGATTGTAAAAATGTATTTTTTATTTGAGACTATTTTGCAATAAAAGCACATTTCAGTCCTTTAAAATAATAGTCGACAAGATTTACTGTATCAAATGTAAGTTTCACACCTCAGTCAGTGGTTAAGATTTCAAACAAACCCCAGCCGCTAAGCTGAAATTGGCTTTTAAAATCTTTAAGTTAGTTTGTTCCCAGATGAACATTTTTTTTAACATGAAAAATCACACTTATTATGCAGCTTGCAAATTCTCTGGTTTCCATTTATCCATTTTATTATCTTTTTATTATTGACAGAGACAGGAGCCAAGTCAGAGCTACATTAATCCAGAAACCAAAAGTAAGTAGACAATATTGTGAATATTAATGCAAGGTGGCAGCTCTTATTTTTCACCATCCCATCCTATTTTTCCTCGGAACCAATTTGTACAAAATGTATTTAAAAATCAGAAAGTTAAAGACAACCAATTTTCAACTCATTGACCTACAAATTTGTCTTTGATTGCAGGGCACTTCTGTTGTAGCAGGGAGATTAGGAGTGGGTGCTTGAAACTTCAGGTCCCTTGGGGAGGGTGTAATCACTGCTGACAATGCACCCATGTCCAGGGTAGAAACTGGAGGACATCTAGCCAGTTTATGAGTCCCAAGAGAGGGGGGCAACGGATATCCATAACCGTAACACCTCACTCTGTGGGGAGCCTGTCTAGTTCTTGGCAAGAATTTTAAGCTTAATTTTTCCTGGATAGCTTTCCCTTCTCTCTTTTTCTTTCACTCTCTTGTCTAAGTAAATAAAAGTAGACCTAAAAGTACATTCATACACACACACACACACAGAGAAAAGAAAATTAAATGAAGAAAATCTCAAGAGATTCGACCTTAGATTTGTTTTAGCTATTATGAACACTCAGACTTAGCACCCACTTGCTTTGCAAGTTTATCCCTAATAATGACCAATATTTGGGTACTGCCCTTAGGATTACCAAAGGCATTCACAAATGTAACATCTGCACAATAAAAAGTTTTTGCAGCAGGAATATAATTCCATCATGCAGATTGCAAATTTTAGTCTTGAAGATGGTTTTTTGAAACAAAGTCCCTGAGATAGAAATTAAATCTACTTTTCCAGAATTCAAAGTCCGATGATCTTTTCTGTATACTAAATTGATATTTTCAACTTTGAAATGTTTATTAATTTTTTTATATTTTATATAAAAAATAAATTAAATTTAGACTTCCTACATTCAGCATACTCAAAAAGGTAAACCCCTATACAGAGTATCCAAGGAGTAAAAATACCAAAACACACAGTGTAAAATCAGATAGAAGGTGGGTGCCAAGGGTCCTCTGGTTTCCTTTCCTTTAAGAGTACGTCCAGCAAAACGTGAAGGGCTGGGACACAGGGGAGGCGGCAAGCATGAGTTACTGCACCCTTTGGTCCTGTCACTTGTGTGCTCCTTTGGAAAAACGTGGGACTCACTGAGTATGATTACTTCCAATAAACCCAAAGTGAAGACTACCCAAGTGCCCGTGAGTAGAAGGATGGATTCATAGATTGTGATTTACACAAACAAGAAGAAAACACAAGCAATGAAAAAGAATCATATTCAGTTCACCCAACAGTGAGGCTTTCTTAAATATGCTAATCAGCAAAAAAAAAAAAAAGAGCCAGAGACCAAAGAATACATACTATATTATCAAATTTATATAAAATGCAATGCAGTCAAACTAGTCTATAGGTTAAAAGAGGCTAGGAACTGTTGAAAGGAACTAGTGCAGGGGGTATGGAGGGCTATGTCTTTATCTGCACGATGGGTATATAGTTGTGCTTTATTTGTCACAGTCTTTGAAGTGAAACATTTATGATATTTGTACTTTCCTCTACATAGAATATACTTCGATAAAACTTGCAAAGGAAGGACATGGTTGGACCTTAAGACTACATCTGTACCACCATGGATATCTTGGATTAACTAACTTGTAGGCTTTTTCAGGCTGAAGAACATTGGAAAAGTGTGGGGTCTGGATCCATTTGCCTGAGTTACAAATCTCCACTGCACTGTGACACTCACTAGCAGTGTGTTCTAAGGGAAGTCTCCTAAACCCTCGGCTTCTCCAGTAAAGTTTTTATGGATTTGTGCCCCTCAACTCCTCAGTAGGGACAAGTAGCATAAATAGGACAAAAACATAAATGCAAACCATATAAACTGAGAGACTGCAAACAAATTGATGGTATCATTCTTCCTCAGCCCTTAAATATCTTTGAGTTAGTGCTATCACTAGCAAAAAAAAAAAAGAAGAAAAAATAAAATTCTGTATTCGGAAGATCTGGTAATAATTCAGTACGGCCAGCAACTCTCCATAGTTATAGTGCCTTCACACAACAGATATTATTTCTCACACTTGAATGAGTGGGTTGGGGTTTCCTCATTTAACGACCTTCAGAAATCCTGTCCTCGGCTGTCTTTGGGATCTTCTCACTTTTTATTTGGAAAAAAGAGACCTTAGGAAAGGTACATCTATTCTTAACTGCTTTGTCCCTGAAGATGTATGCGTTGTTCTCATTTACATTCATTTTAGGGGGAAGTAGCCACATGGCCCCATCTCTCTGCAAACAATCTCAGCAAAGTATGACTTTTCATTAGTCCATTAGCCACATCTGCCACATTGTCCTTATGTTCTCCTACACAAACTACAGGTAATTTCTGAGGCTCTATCAGTTAGGCATTTCACAACAAAGTCATAGAAACGCCAGGATCATTTGATCTACAAATGCATGTAACTTCCTGAAATATATATTCCAACTGGTTGACTTTAAACTCAATCTAAATACCAACGGATCTACTCACATTTCTGAGAGACAGCTTACATTCATTAACAAATGTTAGTTAGCCTAAGTCTCAACACCAAGGTATCAGGTCATATCAATCTGAATTGAACACACTTTACTTTTTTGATCTTCAAGATGAGAGATATCTTGGTGTTGTAGAAAGTACCCAGCACTGGTAACTGGGGTCATGATCCACCTTCTAAATTTATAATCAAATGTCAATATAATCAAAACTAGACGGAATTCTTATATAGGACTTTTTAAAAATCTTCATAAACTTAAACCCACTGTAAATATTGTTCTCTGAAACTTTGGAAATGGAAGTTTTACTTTTACAATAGAAGGCTTATATAAGATACAGGACTTATTCCAAATCACAAACTTGGAACCAAAACTTGAGGCTCTATATTACCAGTCTAATATATATTTTATTTCTTAGCAAAGCAGGAAAGTGTCAAAAGTAAAAATGTAATAACGGTTGCATGTAGGATACACAAATGATCACGTTTAAGAAAAAATTTGATAAATCTGGTAAGACTGTTTTACTGCCGAAATTCTCCCTGCTCCTTGATAGCTGACCCAAGTAGTACCAGGAACTGCAATTATGTCAATAATCATCATAAATTGTATCTATTTCTCACTCTTCAATATTTTTTTGTACTTGCAGGCTTAGGATTGCAAAACATAAGGCAAAAGGTATCACTTTGAAGAGTTTTCATCATTATAACCTTTTGGTCCCAGGAAGTGGTTATTTCATTTTAATAGTCCTGTTTCTATATATATAGGTGTCTTATGCCTGAAATGAATTTTCAAGACTGTCTTTATGCTAAGTATTTGGCAATCCAAAAACTACTGCTTCTGAAAATATGTATAGACCAGGAATGAAGTGTTCCATTTTTACAATGAGATGCAGATTTCTCATTAAAAAGTAAAGCTTTCATCTCCAATGCTATCAAGGACAGTATTTGAGTTTTGGTGAATTAAGAGGCTACAGAAGTCCTATAAAAGAATTTTTTCTAGTCTATGTATTACTTACTGTTAATTATAAATTTGAACATTACTATTAGTGTCCAGCTTGTGACTTTGAATATCAGCAAATAAATATTGCTAACTGGTATTTAATCATTTTCAGTAACACTATTTTCAATTAAACTTAATCTCATACACATTTATACAATTTTACAATTTAATTATAAAATTATCGCATACTATTTGTACAATTTCAGGGATCAATTATCAAAATGCATTGACACTATTTTTTTACTTGTCTCTATGTCAAGGATACTGTTTACTGATTTTAGTGCCCTTTCTTCCTTAAAGCAAAACAGGAAAAAAAAAAAAAGGAAAAATACAGGAGAAAGTGTGGAGGTTATTTCAGGGCTGAAGTAAGATATGAAGAATAGTTATAATCTTTCCTCCAGCTTTTAACAGTGTTTCAAACTCTATCAAGTAAGAATAGATGACTGTTATGCGATGTAGGGCATTGTGGGCCTGGGGTCTTCAATATTTCTCTAAGTTTGTAGATTTCATGGTCACAAGTAAGTACAAGTAGTTAATAAGTTCTGTGTACCATCTTCGCTAACCCTACATACCTATGAACCGGCACAATGCCTAGTACATAACACTTGATTAAAAATTAATGAAGTATGGTTGGCAGCAGGTCCTCTATCTCTTGGCCAATCCTGACTTGTACAATCTTCTCTCAATATTATAGGTAAGCCAAATAAACAATCACCCTGAAAGTTCCTCAAATAGCTAAGAAAACTTCTATGTCCCAAACTATACTGTCATCTGAAATTCCACTTTTGAGTTTCATTCATTTAGCTAAAAATGTCGGTCTTGTTAAAATGCAAAACAAATGTAGCAACAGAGAGTCAATAACACTTGAATCCCTTTTAAATTATTTAAACTTATGACAAATGAGCATCAGATTTGTTTTTCCCTAGTGCAGTCTGGTCAGAGGAGGGAGTCATTCTGTGGTCACAGAAGTAGGATGAGAAAAACCCAAGTCAGTAAGATGAGTTTAGATGAGTCAGAACAAAGAAACTTCTTATCTCACACTGTTGCCTATAGATGAAAGAATACTAAAAGCATAGATATTATCTGATTATTACCAGTACTCATACAGAATGAAAGTGAGATCCACTGATGTGAACTAGTTAAAAGCTAATCATTGTCAGAGTCAAGGTTAGTTTCTAAGAGACTTGACTTTTAGTTTTGTGCTCCTTCTTTCAACTTTGATTACTTATTTATAAATGCTAATCCTACTTCAAAATAACCTAAACCTTATAAAATATTTTGGAAATTCAAAAGAACCTTAAAAGGAGTATCAACAAATTTCCTGCCTCTGTAATTTTGTATAGTATACATAAATAACTACTTAGGCTCCTTAAGAGTGATTTAATTTTCCAAACATGTAAACTATGATTAATTAAGTGTGAAGGTTTATGATTATGTAGTTGGAATTTGGTTTAAAAATATTCTCCATCATTTTCATCAATACTAAATCAGCTAATTGAAATAATCATTGGGATCTACGTCTAAAAGAAAAATTTGTATTGCTGCAAAAAAGAAAATATCTTTCCTCCTACTTCAAAAATGTATTCAATAAGGTAATTACTGTTAAATAAAAATTATACCATGTTCCATAGAGTGCTGAGGTCAACAGAGTCAGAATTAAGAATATCA